TAGGTAGAAGAAATAAAAATGTACAATTAGGATCAAGGCTGTTATGCAGCCTTAATCCTAATTAATGAGGCTAGTAACGTTTAAGATATGTCAGATGTTTAAGATAGGTAGGTAGGATTATATATAGTATGTATATTGTATAATATTGTATTTTATATTGTATGTTATATGTAATATATGTAAACTCTATTATATTGTATATTATATATAATATATGTAAACTTTATTGTATTTTATTATAATGTATAAAAAATTGTAAAATGAAGCTTGAAAATTGAAAACACTGATAAAGAATTGTAATAAAGCAGATTAATAGATATCCTTTTTGGAATTGCAACTTTTCAGACGTATATATTTGTGCACCGGCAAAACACCTTTGTGTAATATACATGTTTCTTTTTGTGTAATTTGTATTTATACGTATATATGTAGTTTTTAAGAAAATAAAATAAAATTTATAAAGCAAAAAGCAGCAAATGATGATGTAAAAGGAGATGATACACTCCACGAATTCTGATGCTGCTCGCTAAAATAATATTATTTATTTGACTATCACATCTTTTCTTGTATATCACATTTATGTTGTGTGGAAAGTTGCAATGTTTTTTTTTTTATTCTTATCTGTTCTCCTTTCGTATCTTCTCATCACGAGACCGATCACTTTAAATTTCAAAAGAAATCAAATCCACGCTCGCGAATATACTCACACGCCTGAAGAAGATGACTATTTGGATTCGTGCACATATCACAGAATAGAACCGCACGCTGTAGACATATTGCACCGAATAAAAAATATCAGGAGTTTCTTTCATTCTTGTAGCAGATAGAAGTTTGAGAGGTACTACCGTGCTTCTTGATCGAAATATCAAATGTACGATCGATATATTGATCGAAATATCGAACGTAGGATCGATATATTGATCGATATATCGCACCTAGCACAGAACAAAACCAATCCGTAGATTTAGTACCGATGCAGTTTGCTTATGCAGTTGATACGCGCGAAACCTGGCGCTTACGTCGCGGTGCCCTAGAGTGGGAACAAGTTTAGGAGCTGTATAGTTTGTTTTCTCTCTGGATTTGGGAATGGCGCCTAAAATATTATACGTATTTCGTAGAGTTCTTAAGAACATGACAATCGCTGTCTAGCTTCTTTTTGGCACTCGTAAGTGGCTGTTATCCCTGAGGATGGGTCGGAAGAATAGGTAAGAGCTTGGAAAGTTTATTAGCTTCATAAAAATTAAATGTGGTCTTCAAAATCGGAAGAGAAAACGGAGGACACCGTGTATTAAAATTTTAGTTAAATGTTGTTTCGTAGTTTTTCTAATATTTTTGTTACAGATTTATTAATAATTGTCACGTGCGGATTTTTATAAAAGTAAATTTTAATTTCGCGTTCTCGGTGTTTTCTCGGTAGCAAAATTTCGCACACTGTTTTTCTGAAAGTTTCTTTTGCACCTCAGAGCAAAACAGCCTGTTGGCAAGAAGAAGAATGACGAGCACGTGGACGACATGGACGACATGGGAGACATGGAAGACGTGAACCTAGAGGATGTCGTGACAGACTCCGAAGAGGAGTACACGGAGACGGAAAAGAAACTATTGGAGAAAGTGCGCAAACAACAAACCACAGAAGATTTTGACAGTGACGATGAAGTTTACAAATTACAAGATAGTGATAAGGAAGAGGAAGACGAAGACGAAGACGAAGAAGATGATGAACAAGATCTCATGGGGTCTGATATTGAAGGTTTGGAGGAAGATGATGATGACGATGATGTGTTGAATGACAAAGCTTGGGGTACCAAGGCAAAAACTTTCTATTCGTCGGATTTCAAGTACACCGACTACGCGATTGCTCCCGAGAAGGATTTAATCAACGCTGAGATAGAGGAGGAGGAAGGAAGAAGGCTGCATTTGAGATTAATGGGACAATACGTGGTGCCGGAGAGTGTGAATTTGAGTGAAATCGCGCAGTTAGCGGAGTATAGCAAAGAAGATGAAGAAGATGATAAGAAATATAGTGTACAAACGTCGAAGGAGGAAGAAAAGTCTTTTATGTTTATGGTCAATATGTTTAAAAGTATGTATGTTAAAAAGAAATAATTTACATATATTCTATTCAACAGCAGTACACTATATTTATAAAGTGAGAGAGTTGTCTGGAGATATGCGCGAAACGAATGAGTTTTATCCTCACTTTGATTCTGTTATCTCGTTGAACGGAGTATATATTAGCTTTTGTTTTGTTGTAAATAAAATATCAACCTGTATTATATATATAAATTACCGATTTGACCGAAGGGATTATTTCTTTTGCAGAGTTTATGATAGAAGTGAGAGATGTTTACGCGCCCTTTTTCAAACTGGTTGACGACGGCACGATTCCCGAATGCGAGGCCGTGGATTTTGTCAGAACTCGATACCGAATTCTACTCAATTATTGCGCCAATATCTCTTTTTGTCTCATGCTGAGGGTAAAAGGAATACGAGTTAAAGGTCATCCGGTTATAAATCGTTTGGCGCATTACAACGAGTTGCTAAATAAGATAGACGAGTGCAAACAGGAAGATCTGCTGAAGCAGGTGGCGGACATAGTGAGAGCAGCGAAGGAAGACAAACCTCTTTACAGCTTGTCAAACGGTTCCGAGATACAATACGCCAAGAAGAAAAAGAAGAAGGAAAAGTCAACGCTCGACAGTTTGAGTAGAACTTTGACACGTCAGACAAAAATGAAGAAGCAAGAGAAATACGACGAGTCCGATAGAACGGAAGAAATAGACGATAAAGACGATATCGAGAATGTCGAAGAGAACGTTTCGGACGAGAGAGAAGATAACGAGGAAGAAGAAGGAAAGAGAGCGATAACGTACGAAATTGCGAAGAACAAAGGTCTCATGCCTTATCGCAAGAAAGAACAGCGCAATCCTCGCGTGAAGTACAGAAACAAATATCACAAAGCTGTGGTTCGCAGGAGAGGTGCGGTAAGTGCAAAACAGGAAAAATTAAATGTCTCTTATATCGCGCTAATATATATATATATTAAATTTCTGTTGTACACTTGAAAACTTATTTGCAGGTGAGGGAAGTGAGAAAGGAGCTGACTCGTTATCAAGGAGAAATCTCGGGTATCAAAGCGGGAGCGATAAAGAGCATAAAATTCACTTAATTGCGAAAACGATTGTAATTTTATGCAAATTATATAAACGCAATATGAAATTACACTCGTTTGTTAAATATTTAAGCAGTCAATCTCGCGTAATCTCTAAGTGTCTGTTTTTCATCACGTAAATCAGTTTTGGAACTGGACGAGCGTTAGAGTGACGACACAGATATACAGTAGACAAATGTTTTTTTTTTTTATTTTATCAGAAAACTATGGTATGTGGCTATGTACATGAGAAACAACGGCGCGCTTCAACCACCAATAGATTTAAAAAAAAAAAAAAGAAAGTCTTTGTGTATATCAAGCTGATAAACAGATAACATTCTTGTTGTTTGTGAAACTTCTGCGTACAGCCTTTGCTTTGCAAATTGATGAACAGTCAACGAAATTACAATTTACAAAATTGAGAACATAAAAGACTCGAAGGATTAACTTAAACTTCTACTTTGGCCAGTATGTCCGATTCGCGAAACAGGTGATATTCCTTGTTGTCCTCGAGTTCAACCTTCGTGCCACCGTATTCGGGAAGCAACACGACGTCTCCAATCTTAATGGTTAAAGGCACATGCTCTCCTTTCTGGTAAAAAAAAAAAAAGAAAACAGACATGTGATTGCGTTGACATATAAATTTTATCTCAAAAAATTGTTTTAAATTGTTAAAACTTGATTTGTTAAAAAATTATTATTCTCCACGTGTGTGTACGTACGTTGTTCCTCGATCCGGGTCCTGTTGCCACGACTGTGCCTCTCAGGACTTTGGCCTGCGCTTTCTCTGGAAGCACGATACCACCTTTCGTTTTGGTCACAGCCTCGGCTCGTTGCACCAGAACTCGGTCGAAAAGAGGAATGAGCCTCTTCGCGGCGTTAGCAGCAGCCTGAAAAAAAAAAAACAAAAACCCGCGTGAAAACCTCGACAACCAAAAGAACCGATCGCGACGATGACGCAAGATGCCGTCAGAATTTCTCATTGTACGAGACCTGCATGTTTAACTAATTCTGCGCGCGATGACTCGATTATATTGCGAGCAAATCAAAAGAAATTTTACACGAGATCGAGACACACCGTTCGTTCGTCTGTCTCGATCATTATGTAAACAAATGCGATCGGATCGGATAACAGCGAAAAACCGCGCGACGCGCTTACAGGAGAAGACAAGCGCAAAATCTCGAAATCCGCTCGCGTGACTTCGACAAATCGATCGAGGAACACGCGCGATCGGCGGACAGAAATTAACGAACATCGCTCGCTAACCTTTGAAGGTTATGGCGAGTAAAAAAAAAAGAAGATAACGACGGGACGTAGAGCGGATTTTTAAATTCAACGGGAAACGAACTTTCTTTCAGCGTCTTATTTGTTTGCGAAATGTGCGTCTTACCATAATTTTTGTTTGATTTATTTATTTATTCGCACTTGGGGAATCGGGTCGCAACCGGTACGGCGTCACGAGTAGATAAACGCGCGTTGTGCAACCTAAACTGCAACCGGCGGAACAGAGCGCGCGCCTCTCGGCGACGTTCTCGAAGGTTCGTTCCGCGCCGCTCCCCTCCCGAGAGCTCGCCACATTGATCTCTTACTTATCGAGCGAAGGAGGAAGAGGGAGCAGGGTTACGTAACACGAGCTGTGCCGAGATAGTCGCGAGAACGCGCCACCGGTTTCTCGAATTTCAGTCTCTCAAACATTTTCCACGGTATTCCACACGCAGAAAGATTTTTAATCATTTTTCCTTCAGTCTCTCCGATTGCGCGCGAAAAAATTATGCAAGTGAAAAAAAAGACAAGACGCAGACTTTTTTCCTTATTCTTCCTCATTTACATCTCATTGAGAGATACCATCTATTGACCTTTGGTTTTGCGACACGTCATAAATTTTCTGGAAAAATTCGGATCTCGATTTGAATAACGCTCGTTATCGCGATGTTCGACACGGGGGAGGGAGATAAGAGAGAGAGAAAAAAATTATACGATAAGACTTCGATATCGGAGAAAAACAAACCGTCTTCGCCCGTAGAAAACTGGGCGTACGGAACGCGTTTTTTTTTTCGCGAATTTACAATTTTCATTCATAAAGTTGGTCGATTTTGCGAGCAACAGGCGCGAGAAGTTGCAACGCGAACCTTCTCGACGGGGTTGGCGGAATATCGGAAGATATATATGACTCCTCGCGTTTTCACGAAGGGAAGGAAGGGGAAAATGGGAGTTTTTAATTACTCGAAGATGACAAAAAGGAACAAGCGGTAAAACATAAAATAAAGATGACTGACGGCAGCCGGCTGATTGCATCACGCGGAATCGTACTTTCTAGAACGCGCAGGCGCGCGGCGTTCTCGCTCGACGTGTCAAGCGACCACAGATTGTTCGTTAATGAAAAATCGTTTCTCTCTCTCTCTCTCTCTCGTCAATTAACGTTTTGTTTTTCGCAAATTCGCAACGGATTAATTCGTTTGAGTTGACTTTTGTTCGCAATTAATCCGTCGCGGATTGCGGTTTATGTTCGCTCCGAGCGGCGAAGGGTGGGGGGAGAGGAGAGTCCGCTCGTGTGATAGCGCGCCACGGTCTCTCCGAATTCGCTCGTTTTCATTTTATACTCGCATTCTCCTCCCGCGAGCAAGACAACGTTGCGGTATAGCGCCGATCTTCAACTCGCTCGTTCAACGACACTCGATCGTTTTTTTCTGAGGAATCTCTTCCAGAAAGGTCCAAGGTGAGGAAAGAAATCCAAGATTACGTTCCCGAGAAATTCACCGAGTTTCGTCAAAAATTCATTTTAGCCGGTATCGCACGCGTGCGTTTCTCACGCGACGAGAAGAATCGACGAGAATCCGCTACCGTGGAACGAACCCTCCCGTGGAAGGAGAGAAAGAAAATGTGCGTCACGCAGCTGCGTCGCGACTGATAATTAAACGAGCATTTTTTTTTTTTTTTTGTCTTTATCGTGTCTCAGTAATTTTTCGCTCTCGCGAACGTTAACCTCTAATTAGGCCCGTTCCCCACACACGCGGGGTTTTACATAACCACGTTTGCGTAAAACCCGCAAGATTTGAACTTGAATTAATCCGCGATAAAAATCAATTGTTTTCGTAATTTTTTTGGAACTTGTTTAGAAGCACGTGTAAATAATTCGCGTTGTTCTCACACAGAGACCGAAAAACTTTGAAAGTTGGCGAGACTCTGAAAAATAATTTGATAAGAAATTTGTTTAGCAATGTATTTTTGAAATTTATATTTTTTATCTCTTATTTATGAATTTTTATTTCTGCCTCGTCAACAGGTTGATCGAATATTTTACATGTTTCAACTTAATGCGTCAGAAAGTAGACACGTAAAGTTGTCTTGTATTAAACTTTTCCATTGATGACAACACTTTGAAAAACTTCATTTAATGCGCATTTGGATTTTTTCTCAGATGCACAGACTGCCACGTATATTGAGAGCGTCTGCCTTGCACCAATTGCAAGCGCGGACTTACGCCAAAGACGTGCGTTTTGGAGCCGACGTCCGTGCACTGATGTTGCAAGGCGTGGATATCTTGGCGGACGCCGTTGCCGTAACAATGGGTCCCAAAGGTCGCAATGTTATACTGGAACAAAGCTGGGGCAGTCCGAAGATCACAAAAGACGGCGTAACCGTGGCGAAAGGCATTGAATTGAAAGACAAATTTCAAAATATCGGAGCCAAGTTGGTGCAAGATGTAGCTAATAACACCAACGAGGAAGCCGGTGATGGTACCACAACCGCGACCGTGTTAGCTAGAGCGATAGCTAAAGAGGGTTTTGAAAATATCAGTAAGGGTGCAAATCCTGTAGAAATCAGACGAGGTGAGCATCTGCATGAAGTAGAACAGACCGTTTTTGCTTTTATGTATTTTGTGCAACAGTTTGAGAAATATCGAACTTCGCCTCACACTGTGCGAAAAAAAAAGATTACAATTTTCACGCATTATAAATTATTGTAATAAAAAACATTGTGATTTTTTCAGGTGTAATGCTGGCGGTGGAAAGAGTCAAAGAAGAATTGAAAGGTTTGAGCCAACCGGTCACGACACCTGAAGAAATCGCCCAAGTGGCGACGATATCCGCGAACGGTGACAAAACCGTCGGCAAATTGATTTCCGACGCGATGAAGAAGGTCGGACAGGACGGCGTGATCACCGTCAAGGATGGAAAGACGCTTACGGACGAACTCGAGGTCATAGAGGGAATGAAATTCGACAGAGGCTACATTTCCCCGTACTTCATCAATTCCAGTAAGGGAGCCAAAGTCGAGTTTCAGGACGCGCTTATTCTCTTCAGCGAGAAAAAGATCTCTTCCGTGCAGAGCATCATTCCCGCCTTGGAACTGGCCAATTCGCAACGCAAACCTCTCGTTATAATCGCCGAGGATGTGGACGGCGAGGCGTTGTCCACGCTCGTTGTCAATCGTCTGAAAATCGGACTGCAAGTGGCCGCGGTTAAAGCTCCCGGTTTCGGCGACAACAGAAAAGCCACTCTTCAAGATATGGCGATATCCACAGGCGGAATAGTGTTCGGCGACGACGCCAATCTTGTCAAACTGGAAGACGTTCAGGTACGTACATATATCCGATCTGATGATAATCAAGACCTTTGAAAATGATCAGCCAGGGTCGATCTCGCAGATGCAATATTGTTTTTGTTTTACAGGCGAGCGACTTGGGTCAGATAGGAGAAATAATTATCACAAAGGACGACACTCTTCTCTTGAACGGCAAAGGAAAGAAAACCGATGTCGACAGAAGAATCGAACAGATCCGAGATCAAATTGAAAACACAACATCCGACTACGAGAAAGAAAAGTTGCAAGAGCGACTGGCGAGGTTGGCGTCTGGTGTCGCTGTTCTGAGAGTCGGTGGGAGCAGCGAGGTGGAAGTTAACGAGAAGAAAGATCGCGTTAACGACGCGCTCAACGCCACTCGCGCCGCTGTCGAGGAGGGAATTGTTCCCGGAGGTGAGGTCTTTTACTTCGCGCATCAAATTTATTTACTTTCACGCGTCGAATTATAATCGCAATTGTCTTTTTTGTTCTTTCTTTACAGGCGGCACCGCTTTGTTGAGATGCATACCGGCGCTTCAACAGCTCAAAGCGTCGAACAGCGATCAAGAGACCGGAATCAAGATCGTGGCGAACGCACTGCGTATGCCGTGCAAGCAGATCGCGCAGAACGCCGGCGTCGACGCCAGTGTAGTGGTGAACAAAGTGAGCGAGGGCAATCAGAGCTACGGCTACGATGCTCTGAACGGCGAATACGTCAACATGATCGAGAAGGGAATCATCGATCCCACAAAGGTCGTGCGCACGGCGCTCACAGACGCGGCGGGCGTCGCGTCGCTCTTAACAACAGCGGAGGCTGTCGTCACGGAGTTGCCAAAAGAGGAAACGTCACCGATGGGCGGTATGGGCGGTATGGGAGGAATAGGCGGCATGGGCGGTATGGGCGGCATGGGCATGTAAAGAGAGAAACACAAAGACTGAAAAACAAATTAGCTCGTACCGCGACTACGTTCGTTCGAAGCACGATTATGCCGCGTAACACAATTGTTCAAATAGATTTCTGGGCGTCAGTTTCCCCCGTTCAACAACGGGAGCAGAGACGATTTGTGTGTGGGGTCACACACACACACACACAGTTTGTAACACTGCAGACGACAATTCGCACAGATATAACGATGCCATTTGCAAGACATAGCTCTTACAATTTGTTTACGTTTTTTTTTTTTTTTTACATTATCTCTACGTTGTTGCGGATAAAATACAAACTTCACATGCAGGTCGTTAATCTTTTTCTTCGTTTGAATGAAAACGAATATGTGTAGCAAGCATAAAAATGAATTTGAAATTCAAGAGTGCATTTAATGTAAAAATATATAGTTACAGAGAACATAGAAACAAACTTGTTGGTATGTTTTTACAGGTATGTAATGTGTTATGATAGATTAAGAAGCTAAATACATACATAAAAATTTCTATTATTTCATCCTTTTTATTTCGTCTCTGTCACAACACGATCATATTGAACTCACGTCCAATATTTTTTTACGATTGATGACAAGTATCGATAGTATCAAAACCGATATATATATATAATATATATATTCCGATATATATACATATATATATAAATAACAAATTAAGTAAAAACTTTGTAATTAAAACACGTGTCGTCCTTTCATCGAATCAGGTGTGAGATATTTTTAAAACAAATAGTAATTAATAGAATAAAATGTATTAAAGATATTCCTTAAGTTACTTTAACAGGAAATCGTAGAAACAAATAAAGCTTGTTCGATATCTTCGTAGTTTCTTTTTCTTTTTTCAATAGTAAATTCACTAAAAAAAAAGAACGTAAGTGTAAAAATAAATATATCGCGTCAATAGTGGGAAGGTGGTCAATCTTACGTAGATTTTTGTAATTTTGTAATTGTTGAATTTTTATTTTTTTTTTCCTCAATAAATATGTTTGCACACAACTTGTCCGTTCTTTATATACAAACTATAATATGCAATGTATTATAGTAAATATACGTAGTAAGTATATACGTAAAAGAAATAAATCATCATTAAATAAGCAATTTTTGACATAAGTGAAACTTTTTGAATAGAATTAAAACTTTTCGTAAGCAAACATTTTCTTTGATGTCTATTCGTACATAAAAAAAAAAAAAGAGAAAAACATGTATGTGTAAATATATCAAGTTTGCTGAAATATATATAGCAATGTGTTGTTTTCACTTATATTGTATTAGGATCAATTTCGACAAAAATCTTAAACTCTATTGCACATTTTATACATCTTCGGAATAATACATAACTTTCATGTAAAGCTGAACTACAAAAAAATCTGTCACTTGTTTTAAATCTTTTAAATACATACGTTCGACAAATTGTTTAAATTAATTCAAATTTATACAAACGAAAACTACATGTACAAATGGTCGTGACCATAATACACGTGAGAAAACAAATATAAAGCATTACTTAAGAGTTAATATAAAATATAAAAACAGACTTTTTTTTTATCTTTAAATATTGTAAGTATACCACACACACATTGTCGCTGTGTAGATAGGATTCAAAGTAATCTTTTACCTAATATTTCTAACTTTTCGCCTCGTACAAGAAAAGTTAAGTACGTGTACAAAATCGTACAGTAAAATAAAAAAATCATAGTACATTCCCTTCAAAAAAATAAAAATTTCAATAGACGGCGTGTTTCACATATGTGCGATATATCGGCGTGTATGTGCAATCGTTTACAAAAATTACTTCTTTGTCGTTTAGATTTGCACACAAATTTCTCGTTCGATCTTGCTGCTACGTAATACGATTGACGCGAAGGACGCGCGCGAACGATAAGATTGCAAGAGCTAGAAAAAAAAAGGGGAAAAAGTGAAACAACAGGTTTTCACTGTAGAGTTGATGAAAAAAAAAACCGTCTCCCATCTCTCTCTTATTCAAAATACAAAGAAGTCCGCCTTAAAAAAGATTACATTAAAGCCTAAGAGTATACTTTTTTTTTTTTTTTATAATAAAAAGCGTATGTCCACGTATATACTCGCTGTAATATAAATTATTTGTTAACCTAAGCGCCGATTTTCTCAATCTCGTCCGCGTCCTCCGCGTCGAGGTAATGTATCTTCTTGCCGAAGTGTTTCTCTATGTCCTTGCACAATTGCATCGCGTGCGGCGAGTCGATTAAATTAATAGCAATACCCGATTTGCCAAAACGACCTGTTCTTCCGATTCTGTGTAAATATGTTTCGCAATCGGCTTGTCGATTCTGATCCATCGGCAGATCGAAGTTAACCACTATCGTCACTTGTTCGACGTCAATACCTGCCGGACATCATAAAATTTTTTTTATTACAAATCCATAAATTCTTACAACTCGGTCCAAGTAAAGTTGACGTCGTGTGCAAATTTTTATAAATTTACCTCTCGCCAAAACGTTAGTAGTGATGAGAACTTTTTCAAGGCCTGCCCTGAATCTATCTAATACGGAAATTCTTTGTTCTACCGTCAAGTCACCGGACAGTATCGCCACTGCGTGGCCGTCTTTCGACATTTTTTCCGCCAGCCAACTGGCTGTTTTTTTCGTCTAAAACATATAACACACGTATTTCGTAAAACAACACCCCGATTTATCAAGTTTTTGAAATTAGAATAAAGATTCTTACATGACAGAAAATTATCGCTTGCCCAATTGTGATTACACCGTATATGTTAGTGATAGCGGTGTATTTGTCATCTATATTTTTGCATTTGATATAATACTGTCGAATGTTATCCAATGATTCTTCCTCTTTTAGTAGTCGTATTATGAGTGGATTAGTAACTATAATTTCCGCGAAGTTCATCACTTCTGACGTGTACGTCGCACTAAACAATAACATTTGACACGTACGGGGAAGTAACCTGTGCACAGTAAAAAAAAAACATATGTAACATTTTCTAATAAGAAATCACACACAAAGAGCGCAATAATTTACGATAAGAAATTACTTGTGAATGCGAATACATTGATCTTGATGACCTTGGGTGGAGATCATTACGTCAGCTTCATCGAGCACAAACAGAGATATTTTACTCAAGTCGAAAAACCTAAATTTTTGTCCCCAATCCAACACCTTCCCCGGTGTTCCTATGATAATGTGCTCAGTGATTTTTGACCCACGAGTCACTAAAAACAAATCAAAATATTCATTAACGTTTTATTAGCAGCAGACAAGATAAGTCACGTATAAGAAACAAAAAGTTTAGTACTTTCTTCTCCCCTCACGGCATATTTTATTTTTATTTCGGGACAGAAGCGTGACATTTTTGCGGCTACTTCGCCAGTTTGAATGGCCAATTCGTAAGTCGGAGACAGACAAAGTACTTGCGGATAATCCTTTGTCGTATCTACCCGACTTAGCATAGCTAATACGAATGCAGCTGTCTTTCCGGTACCAGACTGAGACTGTGCAATCATATTCTGTGGTCTACAAATACATGCGTAAGATTTTTTTAATACCGCACATATATGTTAGAGAAAAATCTAAATCAAGCAAATCATACTTACGGATCGGCCAGTAAAGTGGGCAAAGCAGTCTCTTGAATCCTTGAAGGTGCGTTAAACCCCATTGCATAGACTCCTTTAAGTAGTTCAGGTTTCCTATGTGCAGTAATAAATATTAAAAAACCAATTATATTAAAGTAAATTATAAAATATACCATAAGTATATTAAAGACTATCAATTTGAATTAAATTAAGTAACATATCCCAAAGATTAACAGTAAATAATTACAAATGAAGCGCGTCGAATGTTTTGACGCTGTATAAGGGGGAATTGGGGTCTTTTCTTTGAACTTCTATATTTTTTGTTGTCTCCACCAATCCTTTCCTTATGATTTTTTGTAACAGCGACTTTTCCGCCAGCGAGATTTGGTCTTCCTCGTCGCTCTTAGTATCGCTTGTGGGGGGAGAAGGAACATTTGTTGAATTTGGTTTGTCCAAGGTTATATTTCCCACCTGTATGATAACATGATGTAAGCAGATAGTATTTCACTAACGACAAAGTAACGGATGCAAACGTTCTTTGTTTCTTGAGAAAATCGAACACGCAAGTTAACCTAAACTGTTGAGCATAAAAAGGTTTTTGTCCGGTTTACGTTTCTTGAATCATCCGCTCAGTGAATTTATGACTTTTTGACGTAAACTGTTAATAATTCGATTTGGAGATTCTAAGAAGGAAACTATATCACGAGAACATAACATTTCATAAATTGCGCGTCGCGTAGTAATTTCCATGTTTGTCGGGGGTTGAAACGAGTTATCGCTTCGACGTTCTCGTGAGTATTTTGGATTTACCTTTGACACCAGTTTGTCCTGCTCGTCGGCATATTGACCCCAGTCAACTTTAGTCGAAGCCATATCCGTCGATGAAACGCGAAATGTTGAAAAACACACGTGCACCGCACGAAAGAACAGAACGTATCGCGATGTTAACTGATGTTATCTATGTTATATCTACCATTTGTTCAGTGTGTTAGGCAGTGTTCACGGTTTTGATTCTCTCACATCATGTCGCAGCGGTGGAGGGAATGCGCACAATAGGGCTGGTATGTATGTACAAGTCAAATCGAATCGGTAATATCGAAAGAGTAAATAATGGGTGCGTTCAGACAACTCAACAGTTGCAAAACGGTTGAGAGATAATGGGTGCGTTCAGACAACTCAACGGTTGAGAGATCATCACTTATGATAGGACTATTCTTCAAAATCTGCAACGGTTCCAAAAGTATGATCCAATCAGAAGTGATTATCTCTCAACCGTTGTGCAACTATTGAGTTGTCTGAACGCACCCAATCACTTCTGATTGGATCATACTTTTGGAACCGCATCAGATTTTGAAGAATAGTCCTATCATAAGATGATGATCTCTCAACCGTTGAGTTGTCTGAACGCACCCAATTACTTCTGATTGGATCATACTTTTGGAACCGCATCAGATTTTGAAGAATAGTCCTATCATAAGTGATGATGGGTGCGTTCAGACAACTCAACGGTTGAGAGATCATCACTTATGATAGGACTATTCTTCAAAATCTATAGCGGGTCCAAAAGTATGATCCAATCAGAAGTAATTATCTCTCAACCGTTGTGCAACTGTTGAGTTGTCTGAACGCACCCGATCTCTCAACCGTTGAGTTGTCTGAACGCACCCAATAAAAGCAATTTTGAAACAGAGTTCGTCGTAAATGTAAAGAAAATTAAAAACATAACTAATCACGTGACACAGGACTAATCATATGATATCTATATCATATGTTCATTCCTATGTCAGAAGCTCGCATTCGAACGCAGCTAAAGCCTATGACACACTACGGATTGGGATTGAGATTGGATTGAAATTTGGCCAATCAGAAGAAAGAAAACCAATCCTAAGTTTAGTGATTTTTGCTCTAATTGGCCAAATTGCAATCCAATCTGAATCCTAATCCGTAGTGTGACGTAGGCTTAAAAGTTAAACGCTAGTCGTTGTGGCAAGACGTCGCTGCTTCATTACTTTGATTACTTGTAGTGCCCTGTTGTTCCGTGTGTTCCGTTTTTCATATTTTCATTAAAGATATGGCTTCACCTATGGTTGATTGGGGTCAATACGCCGACGAACATGACAAATTGGTGTCGAAGGTAACGTACGAGATACTTACGAGAACTTCAAAGCGGTAATTCTTTCAACCCGACAGAAGCATGCAATCACAAAAATCACTCCGTGACGCGGGTTGATTTATAGAATTTTCCGCTATTGTTATATTTTCTTCTTCTTAGAATCTCAATCGAATTAACAATGTACGCGTAAAAAAATCATACATTAATTTAGCGAGTGATTGGAGACACGTAAACCGGACAAGAAACATTACGCTCAATGCTTTAGGATTAGATTGGGTTAAGTTAACTCGCATGTTTCTCACGAAACAAATGTTAGAACGTTTTTTTTTTTACTTGTTTTACTTTGTTCTTAGTGAAATACTACTTTGCTCATATCGTGTTGTATCGTGCAGGTGGAAAATATCACCTTGAACAAACCGAATTCAACACTTGTCTCATCTCCGACATTGAATGGGTCTTCCAAGAGCNATGAGGAAGATCAAATCTCGCCGGCGGAGAAGTCGCTTCTACAAAAAATCATACGGAAAGGATTGGTGGAGACAGTAAATAATGTAGAAGTTCGAAGAAAAGATCCTAATTCTCCATTNTACAGTGTGAAAACATTTGACGCACTTCACTTGTAATTATTTACTGTTATTTTTTTTTAGATACAGTAGTTCATCGCATCAATGTTAGCATGCTCGGTTTCGCGATGTAAAGACTATCGAGGGAGATATTATTTCGAGAATTGCAGGCTGTTATCTCTGGCTCGATCGCATTGTAGGCAAAAGTGAGAACTTTTGAGTGCGAGTGAAATATATAACGTGGAGTTATCAAAGTTTCGCGAAGCACTTTTAAAAATTGATGGGAATGACTCTGCGAGCAATACCGAGAGAAAATTTGCGAAAATTACGATGAACTACTGTGAGTTTAAATATTTAATTTAGATTATCCAAATTGATAATCTTTATTACCTTCACACAGGAAACCTGAATTGCTAAAAGGAATCTATGCTATGGGATTTAATGCACCTTCAAAGATCCAAGAAACTGCTTTACCTACTTTACTGGCTAATCCGTAACTATAGCTTGTTTGATTTCGATTCTTTTCTAACATATATGTGCGGGATTTAAAAAACTCTTTTGCATGTGTGTTTGTAGACCACAGAATATGATCGCACAGTCTCAGTCTGGTACCGGAAAGACAGCTGCGTTTGTATTAGCCATGCTAAGTCGGGTAGATACGACAAAGGATTATCCGCAAGTACTTTGTCTGTCGCCGACCTACGAATTGGCAATTCAGACTGGCGAAGTAGCTGCAAAAATGTCTTGCTTTTGTCCTGAGATAAAGATAAAATATGCCGTCAGAGGAGTAGACAGTAATAAACTTTTTGTTCTTTTATATGTGATTTACACACCTTGTCCTGTTGCTAATAGATGTTTCAATTGTTTTTAGTGACTCGTGGGTCGAAAGTCACCGAGCACATCATTATAGGAACACCGGGAANAGTGTTGGATTGGGGACAAAAGTTTAGATTTTTTGATTTGAGAAAAATATCTTTATTTGTGCTTGATGAAGCTGACGTAATGATCTCCACCCAAGGTCATCAAGAGCAGTGTATTCGTATTCACAAGTAATTTCTCATCATAAATTTATACGCTCTTGTGATTTTTTTTAAATAAAGTGTTACATAATATAATATTTTTTACTTTTCTTACAGATTACTTCCCCGTACGTGTCAAATGCTGTTCTTTAGTGCGACGTACACGTCAGAGGTNATGAACTTTGCGGAAATTATAGTTGATAATCCGATCATAATACGATTACAAAAAGAAGAAGAGTCACTTGATAATATTCGACAGTACTATATAAATTGCAAAAATATAGATGACAAGTACACCGCTATTACTAACATTTATGGTGTAATTACAATTGGACAAGCAATAATTTTCTGTCATGTAAGAATCTTTATTCTAATTTCAAAAACTTGATAAATCGGAGTGTTGTTTTACGAAATACGAAATACGTGTGTTATATGTTTTTAGACGAAAAANACAGCTAGTTGGTTGGCGGAAAAAATGTCGAAAGACGGTCATGCGGTGGCGATACTGTCCAGTGACTTGACGGTGGAGCAAAGAATTGCTGTGTTAGACAGGTTCAGGGCAGGCCTTGAAAAAGTTCTCATCACTACAAACGTTTTGGCCAGAGGTAAATTTATAAAAATTTGCACACGACGTCAACTTTACTTGGACCGAGTTGTAAGAATTTATGGATTTGTAATAAAACAAATTTTATGATGTCCGGCAGGTATTGACGTCGAGCAAGTGACAATAGTAGTTAACTTTGACCTACCGATGGATCAGAAGCGACAGGCCGATTGCGAAACGTATTTACACAGAATTGGACGAACGGGTCGTTTCGGCAAATCGGGTATCGCTATTAATCTAATTGACTCGCCGCACGCGATGCAACTGTGCAAAGACATAGAGAAGCACTTTGGCAAGAAAATACATTATCTCGACGCGGAGGACGCGGATGAGATTGAAAAAATTGGCGCTTAGGTTTATACATTTTTTATATTGTAACGAATATGTAATATACAATTTTTATTATGGACATGTATACTCTTAGGCTTTACTGTGATCTATTGTTAAGGTGTATTGTATTTTATATAAAAGGAGAATGGAAAATTTTTTTCCATTAATATATATTGGAAATCTGGTTTTTCATTTTGCCGTTTCTTTCTACCTCTCTTGCAATCTTATCGTTCGCACTTTGACACGTCCTTCACGTCAATCGTATTACACATAACAGCAAGTTTCAACAAGAACTTGTGCAAATCAAAGACGGTAAAGAAATAAATTTTGTAAATGATTGCACGTATGGTAATAATGCTTTTACCGTTATTAAAATAATTGTTCGCGATTGAGGGATAGCCTGTCTACACGTAGTTACATAGAGTAAAAGTACTTTTCACTCTTCAAACAACAATGGAAGTACGTACAAATGTTTTTGATCTACAGATTTCAAAAATATTCGTACGTATATATTGTGTGACAGATAGTTTTATTTCTATTCACACAAGCTTTTTTTAAAGTTTGGGGGAAGTATTGTTTTAGCACTACTGCTACATCTTAAACTACAATAATAAATCTTGATACAAGTTTGTTTTTAGTTTTAACGCTCACACATATCGTGTATTGCGAATTAATTTTTTATTTCGTACATGATATATATTATACATTATTTTTTATGTGAAATATATATATACAATTCCTTGTTATATGTACAAATAATCAATCATATAAAGCTGACATCTCTTTAAAGTCTCGACAGCTCTTTATAAATTTTTTTTGCGCACTCAAAAAAAAATCTCTAAAATTTATAAATTACTGTAATTTGCATACTTTGTGTGTATGTGTGTGTATATGTGTCTGAGGTTGGAGAAAAGAGACGTATATATATATATAAAATATATATATTTAGAAATTAAATATATATATATGTATATATATATGTACATGTATACTTTTATAGACATACATGTATACTTTTATACACATGTTTCTATATGTCTGTGTATTTATACAGGATTTAACGTGTAATCTGAAACTAGCTTATATTGAGTTAACATTACGAATATATACTGAGGAAATATCTCGGGAATTCCCCCTTAGGATGTCTTTGCGACCGCAGTTGCCACTTTATTGTCAGGTGTGCTTTGCGGCATGAGGCGAACGGTTATCAGCGATAGATCGAGCATTTTGCGCTGGTATTTCTTGTGAAACACCATTGCGGCGGATTGCGTCTTAAACACAATGGTCGCATTACCCTCGCCCATGTGTATACTCTATAACACGAAGAATAGAAAAAACACTTGTTATTAGAGTGTCAAAAAGGTATATCGTTTATTTAAGACGGATGTATAAAAGTAACTATAAAAATCAGGAAATATAAATTAGTTTTTCTTGGATCATGCGGAAAATATAATCAGTATGTGTGTGTGTGTGTGTCAACAAAATAAAATAACAAAATTATTAGTTGAACGGTCTTAGCATAGTTGTTTATCTTTGTTACAGTAGTCGCATAAAAAATGTCGCACAGTAAAAGTGAAATACTTAAAATTATTTTCTTGAAGATTTCTTCCATGTTTTCTATCATAAAAAATATAATACTGTATGTGAAAAAAATTAAAATATAAAGTAAATGCATCACACATTTAGATATACATATATAACGATTATATGTAAAAAAAATGACATATAACACATTATATAAATAACATTTGTATATATTTAATATATATTTCGTAGTTTTTATATATCTAGATTCTTTTTTCATATAAACTATATTTGGCATTTAAAAAGGAACAAGTCAATTATTGCAAAAATCACATGTAATGTTTTATCCTGAGTATAAAAATATACTGTTTTTACAATTACTTATAAGATAAGAAATTTTGCAACCTTCTAAGAAAATTTACATAATTTTATAAGTAATCGTCTATTTCTCTATCTTAAGTACTAATTAATGTTTCGTAGGAACATTCACAATCAAATTGTTATAAGAAATCGTTCAGTTTTCATATTTAAACGGCACAATATAAACGTAAACACCTATATCTAATCACGAATTAGGAGGACTTGTGTACCCCTTGATATATGATACTTGAACATTCTTACATTTTTCGTATCTTTAGAATATAAATGTAACTCCAATCAAACGACAAAGTAATAATCTGTTTATCAAGCAAAAAATATATAAAGAAGCACCATTTCTGACAATTTGATAATTGTGACACAACAAATTTTGTGGTTACCGAATTATATTTGCGTGAAGAAGTTATACAGAATCTTATAATTATTTTATATATAATAGTAATATTTTTTTTATACGTACACACACATCTCTGATCAAAGAGATGTTTGCACGGAAATACTTGGAATAATAAAAGTAATAGAAAGTGAAATTAAAGAAATTAAAAGCGTGTGTCAGATGTGTGCTTATGTAAATATAGTCACCTCAATGGTTCCGATGGTTTGACACATACGTCTGATTTGAGCCTCAGATGTGCTCGCAGCCAAATTCTCTAATCTGACTGTGTTTGTCTTTATCTCGGGTGACCGTTTGACTTGAACTCCAGATTTTTGGAGCACGATTCGCTGGGAGTTTTGTTGCATATTCGCGATTCTCTGGGTGTTGACATTCTCGTTGATCACAGTTTTCTGCAAACCACTCCCTTTACTCGTCATCATTCTCTGATTCATAGGCACGGTTTTTGATCCAACAACTGCGGGTTTCTGGAATGCATTGGCTTGATTCTGCACGATCTTTTGAGGGTGCACGACTTGCGTGTTGGACATTTTCTGTTGCTGTAATCCTTGATTCTTTTGCGTATTGGGAATGGTTTTTTGTATTGTGGTGACCTTTTGCGGATTGTGTATCACGACTCGTCGCGAACTGGATTGTTGCACCACTTGTATTGTTTGAGCAATCTCACCGGAATTCTTATCTTTCAAACCGGTCGTGTCTGACAGATCGTTGTTCTGTACAATCGGTACTGTTCTAATTATTCGCACATTAGATGGTCTCTCTGTTGCCTACAACAAAAATACGTCAGTTTAGAAAGAAAAATTATTATGCAAAAAACAATGCAAGTCATCAATAAGTAATTTAATCAAACTCCATGGCACAAAAAAATATTTTCAAACATCGCATGACGTTAGAAAAAAAAAATAAAAAATAAAAAAATAAAAAAATAAAAAAAACTGACAAGTTTCAAAAGTTTGAAATTTATGAAACATGTTAGTCTGGAGGAAATAAAAAGAAACAAAATTTATTGAAAAAGTACATTTTATTGCAACATAAGGAAAATATATACAGCAACTTTTCCGGTTATATTTGTATAAGAAAGAATGGAGTAATTTTATTTTCAAAAATATATTATATAATTATGTTATATAAAATTTTTTTATATATAGTAAATATTTAAAAATGTTTTCTCTTCTAATAATGCAGTATGAATACTGCGTATGAAACAATCATTCAAATAGATTTAAGTGAATCGTATATCTATAGTTTCAAGATGCGTGTGAAATAAATATTTAAAAAATACTATCACTAGTTCATATATACATCACGATATATGTATATATATATATATATTTGATTGGTAGTAACAGAAATATAATTGAAATCAATTTTTAATTTTCTTTTTTACAAATTCATATGCAATATGATGTAACGTGTACAGTTTTGACATTCCGTCTGATTGAAGAAATCGAACAAGTATCAAAAATTAAAACATAAGTAGACATTTAATGTTGTACCTCTGCACTTTGTGTATTGACAGGACGACCGCGTCCTTTAACGCCAGGTCGTGGAGTTATAGTAGAAACGCCATCCTTTACGATTCCCATTAGCGCTGACACGGGCTTCGTTTCTTGCTGTGTATTTTCATTCGCTGAAAAATTGCAATCGCGTCGTTATAAACGCGAGAAAAAGAGACGCGTTGTAATTTCGCGTAATTTGTAGAAAATAAACTTCAACTTCGATATACCTGCGACACTTGAATCGTTCTTCGTATCTTCATTTTGTTTCTCCATCGCTGCCCTTTTGCGTCTGTTTTCCTTTTCGAGCAATATCCTTTCTCGAAGACGCTTCTGTTCTTCCATTTTCTTGCGATACTCCTGCATCTCTGGATCGCTATCCTCGTCCTGATATTATAAATTTCGTTGGTATACATTATTACACGTTCGGATTCCTCGTCGTGTTCCACGCAAAATAACAAGACACTTACCTTAGCAACTCCCGCTGACTCAGTTTTCTGTTCCCCCTGAGATTTGCTGACGAGCGGTTTGACGCGTTTCGAGGTCATTTCCCGCGGTTCCTTGTCCGAGGATTCCGAGAGTCTCTTTTGCGGTCTGTTTGCTCCGGACGGCGCGGCATTCGACGGTCTGGGTTTCGGATTGTGATTGTGATCACTGCGATATGTGCTGGGCGGCGTTTTGCTTCTCTGTGCATGTTCATTCCGTATTGTTCGACGTGGCAAATCTCCTTCCCGATAGCTCTGATAAGATCTCTTGTGATCCTGTGAATAAAGATATGTGAAACAACAAATGAGCATATAAAGAAAACACGCAATAATCGTTCACTTAAAAAGATAATGATATTCACCTCTTGATAGCTGTTCTTCTGATCCCACTGACTATCCGATTTGTATTTGTCGCTGTAGTTTTCTTCTCTGAAGTAATTGCTGTCCGAGGAATAATGTTTGCTCGGGCTTGTGTTCTGAGGTTTCTGCGGTCTGTTTTCTTGCCACACATCGGAAAAATATGCGTACGGGTCCTGCACCAAAATATCAAGACATATCTATATAGACTTTTCTGTTAATAGATCAGATTTTTTTTCTGTTTGAGCTTATGATCTCTCTCTGTTTATTTTATGTTTTTAAAAAATATTTAATTGTGCTATTCGAACATGCGACTATGCTTACATCGCTTTTATTCTGCTGATAGTTTTGCTGTTGATAGTTCTGTGACGGTGGATCGTGTTGATTGTAAGATCCTTGACTTTGATATGACGACGTGGGCGGAAATTGCTCGCTATGAGAAATTTGTTGGACTTGCTGATTGGAATCCCAAGCAAGTCGAGCTAGTAGAAAATGTGAATGGAAATTTTTATTACCAAGAACGATTGAATAGAATACGTGTGCATGTTGAATAATCGCTTGCAACTCACCATCGTTTGTAGGTTGAACTGTGCCTCGAAAATGCGGATTTATTAGAATCTTGTGGCCCGGAGGTAACATGTTGGACGACGTCTGTTGCATCGTATCGTTGAACTGACCGCCGGACATTTGATCGGGATGATAACCACCAGGTCTCGTGTCGTACGCGTTTCGATCTTGGTAAAGCGACTCCTGAAACGGTGGCGGCCTGTTCTCGAAGGGCGGCGGTTGATTAGGCGGCATCTGCACATTCGGCGGCAGGTTTGGCACGGGCAAACCTTGGGAAGGTGGCAGCATCGATTGCTGTTGACGCGGAAATCCCTGAATGGGCATCGGCGGATTTCCTCCTCCCGACGGTAACATGTGAGACGGATTTCCGGGCGGCATGTTCGGTGTGCCAAGAAGCGATCCACGTCCCGGATTTCCCTGCAATAAACCCGGCGGGCCCGGCATCGGTCGATGATTTTCTTGCAAAATGCCACCCGGATTTTGAAACGGCTGTTGCATTGACGATTGCATCGGCGACGGTATCGGTGGCTGCATCGGCGACTGCATTGGCGGATGATTGGGCGGGCAGTTGTAATTCGATCCGCCTTGCATCGGTCTTGCCAGCAAGGGACCTCTAGATCCGTATTCGGGCAATCTCGGACTCATCGGACGCGGCCCCATCAGGCCCTGAAACTGTCCCGGATTGAACTGCGGTCTGTTTTCCGGAAATTGCGTCGGCGGCCCTTGTATTGGACCACTCGGTCCAAAGGGCTGTTGAAAGGGCTGTTGTGGATTAGCCTGTTGATACATTATCTGTTGATTTTGTACGTTACTTGATACGCCAAGATGAAACGGCGGTCTGGTCTCGAGTAATGGCGGTCTGGTCTCGATAAGCGGTGGTCTGGTGTCGATTAGCGGCGGTCTACATATCGGTGATTGATTGTCAACAAAATTATTACCTTGCCGCACCATACCAAACCTGAAATATAAAAATTCTCTCTTTAAATCCACTATATCTTAGAACAAATGAAGGAAAAACCAGCGTTTGCGTATATATAATATAAAATATTGACCTTGGATTAAAGTTTCCGACATTTTGTACATTAAATCTTCCCCCGCGGCTTCCTCCTCTTGCCCCGCGACTCTTCCCTCCTCTTCCCCTGAACTGCTGCATCCTATACGGCTCCGACGTGACGACATTTTCCAAGGTTTCCGGGATATCATTGTTCATCTTTGGAGAAACTATCGTACGTTCGTTCTGAAATCTGTTACGCCGCTCCCTCGCCTCTTCGCAATCGTCGTCCTCCATTTCCTGCCCGTTGCCGATGTACGAAATGTTCTTCTGCATGTTTTTTTGCAGCTTCTCACGCAGATCGCCCTTGACGATGTTATTGGAAACGTTAACGCTAATTGATTCCGCATTCCCGTCAGACTTGACCGACGTCTCGTGTTCAACACTTTCGTTTTGTCCGTACGACTGTACATCCGCATGTTCTCCATCTTTATAGAAATTGTTATCGCTACCCTTATCAGTATTGGATCTACTAAACTCTATATTTTCGTCTTCACCGTCTAAGTCGTCGAGCGCATCCGTGACTCCTAAGTCCAGTACATCATCTGTCTCTTCTTCTCCTTTATAGCTATTCTGCTGCTCAAGGAATCAAATTGCCAGATATTTGTAATGCAAAAAATATGACATTCATCTATAATGTAATATATAATATATATATCTACATATACGTATCGTTTAACTATTTATATCTACAGTATAAAGTGGACTGTAATTGGAACATGTCTTGTCTTCCGTGTTTCCGGCTGTTCTTTTTTTTTTTTTGCTTTGATTTTTGCGAAAATCGGCGTATGTACATATACTCGCAAGAGTTCAAAGTTCGTGGCGTGTAAATTGGATTCAGCGCCGCAAAAAAATGTTTTTTTAAAAACGTTTTTTTTTATTATTTTTTTTTTTTTTTTTAATTTTTTTTTTTTTTTTTTTTTTTTTTTTTGTTGGAAAAACTTGTGTCACCTCTGAAAGACCTGTGTGGTTTTCACCTCACTAATAATCGTTAACGAGGAAACATGCCCTTAATCTCTAATGATGTAGTGACGAAAGTAATGTAATGTATAATGTCTTATATAAACGAATGTGATACGGATGATAAGTCCGAGTACACAGCAGCAGAAAGATGCGAATGTGTGTGCGACGATTATACGACGTCTCTCTCCGACGAGATTGCGTGGCGTGTAATAAATAATACCGTACAATATTCGACGATCGACACGCGACAAGACGGGACGAACGGGTTGCTTAACGGAAAAGCTCGCGTAATGCTCCTGACCGAATGTTCAACGCTGTTCAATATGATTCAGTTAAAAAAATCAGCGTGCGCATACACTTGCGCGCTTAATGGATCAAATAATATTAAAATTAACAATGTTGTATAAATTTCGGTGAACATGTACATTTGCGATTGCGATATTAAATTTGTGACAAAAAAAAACTTCGATTTTTCGTACAGTAAAATTTGAAATTTGGCACACGATTGTTTGACTTCTTCGTGCAAGTGAGAAATATAAATCGGACAGTTTTAAAAATGTATCGTAAAAATCAACTTCTCGTGTTACATAGAGCGCAACTGAATCATTTCTTACAGCATTCAATTTCCAAATGCATGTATGAATACTTAAAAACTAGAGAGATCATATATTGATTTACAATTTAGCTTCTCGCGCAATTGTTACATTGTTAAGAAAAAAAAAAAAAATGGCAGTGCTCACAAGATGCGTTTAAACGACCGCGAGGAGAATCTTACGTAAGAATTTTTACACACGCATTTTTTTAAAAATCGTAATGTGTAACGGCATACGAAAATCGCGACTTAGGCTTACTTTCAACAGTGATGTAACTTGTTACCGTAGAATATTTACATTTTAATTAAATGCATTTTTATTTCAATAAAAAAAATGTCGATAAG